TAATTCCGGGCAGAATTATGTTGGTCGTGGGCCGGAATTATCTTAATGCCGGCCAAGTTAAACGATTAAACGATTAAACGATTAAGAAAAATTTTAGGCGGTTCCAATCCCTAATTAAAATTAAGTTAATTACACAGTAAAAACATGATGTTCTGTGACTTTGAAGGTATTCTTTCTTTCTGCAAAAACGGAATAGACCCGCCCTAATGATGGTACATTTCTTTGCAAGTACGATCTTTGTAGTCCACGTATAATATTACTAATTATTTGTTGAGCCTCGATGCCTGCTGTATCAACAACATAGAAAATAGAATCCGATCTAGGAAAGTGATTACAACCTTGAAATGTACGAATATCTGAACAAATATTATATCAAATCTCAATTGATATGAATTACAATCAACATTACATTAAAGATTCAATAATATAGATTACATTAATTGATGTACAGTACATACAATTTAACGCGTTATTTTTTTTGAATATTCCGCTGGACAAGTTACTGTATGTTTCATCCCATTCAATTATGAAAAGACTGTTAACATCGTCTGAATTATGTTTTACTCGAACCCATATCTGCTCATTCCATAATATAGTTTTGGTATCATCATCGAGAGACTCTGTTAGTCGGCATTTTTTGCATTTTCCTGGTAAAATTGCGATTTTTTTTTGAAAATTTAACCAAACAGAAAATAGAAAAATCATACTTAAAAATCCTAAAAGGTAACAGATATATAATCCAGATAGGTGAAGCGAGAAAGACACGAACAATGGTGACGACGATGAAAGGCGAAAATAAAATAAAAAAAGAAGTAATGTAAGCAAATTAATAAAAAATAGTAATAAAATTTATTATCCATTTTTTTTTAGTAATTATTATAAAAGTTCGTAATCTTGAGAATTTATAACTTTGTTAAACCATAGGAGCATTTTGTATTATCTGATTTATAAAATACCCAAAATCTGAAGAATTTGACTACTAACATTAATATGTCGAATTTCTAAAAAAAAATTTTTTCCTCAGAGTTTAACGTTGATTGATTAATGTATTTTAGAGACCAAATACTTGCGCTTGAAATACTTAGATTTTGTGACCGAATTTTAGCCTAATTTCATAACAATAATTGTATATAGATAGCTCTAGTTATGCAAAGACTCTCTTTGATTACCAAGTGTCAATGAATTTATCAGCCATGACAGATACCAAATACTGGATCTGGATTATTATGTCCAATAACCCCTGGACCATCAGGACGTTGGTGCTTTACACGTTCATGCTTATGTACACCTGTATAACGCTATTCAATTTTCGCGTATTTATTTACTTTGTGTATTTACGTGTTGTGTTCTTTTTTATATTTTTTTAAAAATACGCTTTTAAGAATTTATAATTTCTAACAATTTTAAGTATGGATTTTGTTGCTAAATAATGATTCTAAATATTTTTTCATATTAGTTTAGTTAATAAGTAGAATAATCACTCGAATTAGCAATATAGATAAGTATTTATACGTAATAATTTCATCATTATTAATGCAGAAATGATTTACTGTATTTTACAGAATACTACCGAATTTTTCTTTAAATAGCTAACACGAATCTGGCTTGGTTGCTGCAGAATTTACAAAATTCAAAAATATCAGAATTAAGCCGTGTGTCAATAATAACGAAAAATGTAGGAAATTAATAAATATCGATATGAGAATGGTGGCTAAAAATTCTCAAGATAATAAGTTAAGGTAGTTAACTCTGAAACTTAGGTAGCGTTCCCTGTAATTTTGACCACGCAAAATTTAAGATCAGGTGTAAAGTGATAGTCAAAACTTGTTTTCTAAGTTGCGCGCAAAATTAAAGTTAAAAACCGCGTTATAGTTAGGATTATATGGCCTGTTAGTCAATTTCACAAAGAGTATTTTTAATTAGACCGCAGAAGATGGTAAAATTTACTGTAGAGCTATTCTATTTTTTCTTTGGTTTCGATTTTTGCGTCACACTTGATCCTGAAATTCAATTGATCAAAATTACAAGGAGTGAAAATTTTTTGTAAGGGCTTCGCTTCTGAAAGGGCAAATCTTAAAATTGCAAAACTTATACAGTGGCCTACCATATAAGTGTGGACACTTTTTGGATCGTGATTGCTCAAGAACGGGTAAGTATGCGCAGCA